AGAAGGGAATAGATGCAAAGATTGTAAAGAGAAAACTCATTTAATCAATAAGTGTTTTGGAGTAGGAGTATTACTTACATAGATAGAAACTATTCAAGCCAGCCTGTGTCATCCTTTGGTCTGTGTGGTTGCTTTCCCTGTTGGCCTCATGCCTGCGGTACTGTTGACCATTGTCGACAATACAGGTTAAGCCTGTAAATTGTCTTTAACCATCGTCGACAGTACAAGTTAAAGACCATCGTCGACAGTGCCGGCTCTGATACCAGTTTGATATGTGTGTGCGGTTTTGTGCGGTAAATTGTCTTTAACAAGAATGCGGTAAATTGTCTTTAACAAGAAGAAGGGAATAGATGCAAAGATTGTAAAGAGAAAACTCATTTAATCAATAAGTGTTTTGGAGTAGGAGTATTACTTACATAGATAGAAACTATTCAAGAAGAAGGGAATAGATGCAAAACACTTATTGATTAAATGAGTTTTCTCTTTACAATCTTTGCATCTATTCCCTTCTTTAACAAGAAGAAGGGAATAGATGCAAAGATTGTAAAGAGAAAACTCATTTAATCAATAAGTGTTTTGGAGTAGGAGTATTACTTACATAGATAGAAACTATTCAAGCCAGCCTGTGTCATCCTTTGGTCTGTGTGGTTGCTTTCCCTGTTAGCCTCATGCCTGCGGTACTGTTGACCATTGTCGACAATACAGGTTAAGCCTGTAAATTGTCTTTAACCATCGTCGACAGTACAAGTTAAAGACCATCGTCGACAGTGCCGGCTCTGATACCAGTTTGATATGTGTGTGCGGTTTTGTGCGGTAAATTGTCTTTAACAAGAATGCGGTAAATTGTCTTTAACAAGAAGAAAGGAATAGATGCAAAGATTGTAAAGAGAAAACTCATTTAATCAATAAGTGTTTTGGAGTAGGAGTATTACTTATATAGATAGAAACTATTCAAGCCAGCCTGTGTCATCCTTTGGTCTGTGTGGTTGCTTTCCCTGTTGGCCTCATGCCTGTGGTACTGTTGACCATCGTCGACCTGACACTCTGTCACTTACAGGTTTCATGACTCTATTTTGTATGAATACTCAAGTATAACAAAACATGGATTTATTGATAAAAGAGCTCCCAAGATGGGAGTACTCTTACAATATTTTACATCTTCTCCCTTCTAAGGGAGATTTTACTCACAAGACATTAAAATTTTATAGGATAGAGAGTGTTTTTCTTGCACTCGTTATTGCGATGCCCTTAATGAAAACATAACTCTCAATTTATAGATACATTGAGAGGGTCTGATAATTGTTTGTTACGTCAGGGATGACTTTCTCTCCACTAACGAATTACATTATTGTGGATAGCTGGAAGGCATCTCTAAAAGGTAAGACGTATTATTTTTCTGAGTGGATGGAAGTGTGCGGAGCATCTTTTATTAAGATGATGAGGATTTGTCATCTTCAGAGGAGGGCCCCTCCTTTGTCTCCGAATCTTTGCTTTCGCAAAAGTGACAGAGATGTTCTTCGAAAAGTTGTTCTGCATGTCGGCAGAAGTGTTGGTGTGTAGCGTTGGAGACTTCCATGGTATTGTTCATGAATTTTTTGCCAAACATAGAGGCTTGACGAAGATCTTCTTGACTGGTGTTGTTGTAACTCCAGCTTGTAATTATACAATGTGAGTTGGTATAATTAATCTTCTTTTTTGAACCAGAGATAATCTCAATGATTTTTTCTGAGATTCTTCTTAACCCATTGATGCGATTGGGATGAAGAATTTCTGTGAATGGTAGATCTTTATCCTCCATTGGTCGAGATTGTTCAATTTCTCTATTGGTTTTAGAAAGACCAATTTCCAGAAAAGGGTATGAAGAAAGAGTTGATTCTTGAATCCATTCTGGGAGTGAAGAGATGCATCTGATGTAGATCGGGTTATCTTTTGCTTTAAGTACTTTCTTTCGAAAGTTCTTAATGGATTCTACCATGCTGCTTGGGAAGAATTTGAGTTCTTGAAGGTTGCAACTTGGGTAGATATTGTCGATTAGTCCAGCTTGAATAGCTTGGTAGACTAAATTTGCATCTGCTCCTTCGAGGAAGTTGAACAGACTTTTTGTCTTCTTATCCGTAGTGAAAAACTTTTCATAAATAAGATCTTCTGGGCATGCAGCTCTTGCTTTCTTCCAGATTGTTCTGAAATCTTCAAAAGAGATTTCAGGATAGTTAACCGTTTGTTGAACGTCAATTGGAACGTCAAACCTTTGGTCTCTGTGAGCTTCTTTGACTTTTTGGATTTTTGGTCGAAGAAGCGGTTGGTTAGTTTTGCTTGTATCATCTTGATAGGTGGCAAGGCTTAATCTTGCAGATGTTTCATTTCTGAATTTTTGCAAGTAACTTTATCAGCTTTACAGAAAGTTTCTGTAATTCCCCAGTCAGTATGAACACCGGCATGTGGTCCTTTGTAGATTACATAAAATCTTTCAGCTTCTTTGTTAAGAGTTTTTTTGTAATCTGGTGTAAACTCCTGCACAGATTTGTTGGTGGGTGACAAAGTTGTCATTTTACTGATTCCTTCAGTACAAGGATTGGGGTTAACCAATAAGCTAGTTTTTCCTTCAGGAAGAGGAGTAGCTGTCTCCTTTATTATGCTTTTTAGCAAAGCATCAGCTTTCAACGAATTTTTCGATTCTTTACCAGGTGCCGTTTGCACTGGAATAGCCTTTGTTTTTAAGCTTTCGCTTTCCGGTACATTGGTGACCGTTGTTACTTGTTCATACAAGTTGATTTTCTGCTCAATTGCAGATTGCTCAATGAGGAGCATTTGTTTCTTTATCCTCAAAGTGTTGAGGTCTTCCATTTTTGTAAACTCAATTTTTGTTTACTTTTCTCTCTAATCTCCCCCTCTCTTTTTTGTAGGTGAAGTTTTTTGTGAGGAATATGTCATGAGGATCATATCCTTTTATAGGGCTCGAGAGGAGCAAGTGAGATCATGGATGATGTAAGGTATACCTGAAGTCACGGGTGAGGCAGTCTGCCAGTACATTTTTATTTCCTGCGAGATGTTCAACAGTGAAAGTATATCGTGAGAACCACTCTTGCCAACGTATTAGTCGGCCTAATTTGTTGTCTCCTGCAATCTTAGTTCGGAGGAAATAAGTAAAATTTTTATTATCTGTACGAACCAGGAAATTTACTGGTGTTAAATATACAGAGAATTTTGTAATAACTCTTTTTACAGTGAGTAATTCTTTTTCATTCCTATGGTAGTTTTTCTCGGCTGCCTTGAAACTGCCAGAGGTGTACCTGCAAATTTGTTCTTCATTTTTGGGGGTTTTAGCTTTTAAAACACCTCCCCAAAATTCATCAGAAGCATCAGTTTCAATAATTAAACTGTCTTCAATGTTTGGAAGATAAAGTTTTGGAAAATTGATTAAAACTTTCTTTATCTTTTTGATGTAGTCTGTATCAGCATTTGACCAATTCCAGATGACATCTTTTTTCAATTTTACCTGTAAAGGTTTTCTCATGACTGCAAGTTTTTCAATATATGTTTCAGCGTAAGTTAAAACACCAAGAAATCTTTGCAGTTGTTTTTTGTCTTCTAAAACATTTGGAAAGTCATGTAAATGTTCAAGAATATGCTTTTGAGGACAATGAGTACCCTCATTTATTTCTAAACCCAAAAAATTAATTTTTGTTTTGAAAAGATGAGATTTCTTTTTTGAAAGTATTATTCTATATTTTAAAATGGTTCTGAGAACCTGTGTAACATGAACATAGTGCTCTTGTTCATCTTTGCTGAAGACCATGATGTCATCAACGTATACAGTACAGAAACCTTCAAGTCCTCGAAGGGCGTTCTGCATGTGTCTTTGAAAAATACTAGGAGCTTGTTTAAGCCCAAAGGGCAGTACTTTCCATTGAAAGAGTCCATCAGGACATGTGAAGGCAGTGAGAAGCTGCGATTCTTCATCAAGTAGGACTTACCAGAAACCTGACTTGCAGTCAAAACTTGAATACATATTTTTTCCTCGTAGAAGAGTCAAAAGTTCATGCATATTGGGAAGATTATGTGAGTCTCCAATAGTTGCATCATTGATTGCTTTGTAGTTGACAACCATGCGCTTCTTTCCTCTTTTTTTTTCTGCTTCTTTATTGACAAGAAAGACAGGGGACATATGAGGGGATTTTGATTCTATAATTAGTCTCATATCAAGTAATTCCTTGATTTGTTTGGAGAATTCTTCTCTATCTTGTAGAGAGTAAACCATAGGTTTTTCTCTAATAACCGTTTTGGGATTAATGAGCTTAATTGAAGCTTTCATCCATCCTTTGGTTTTATCTGGATCAATAGGATTTTCAGAACAAACTTTTTCAAGAAGATCTTCAATCTGTTTGAACCTGGTAGTTTGAATAGAAATAATCATTTCTTTATTAATTCCTTCTTGGGTTATATTAGTACCCGTAATTTGTTTTTCTTTAGAGCCTTTTTCTTGAGTTTCGAGAAAACCTGGTTTTCCTTTGCTATAGGCTTCTGTGACCTTTTTTATAATTACCATATCATTATTAAGATGAAAGGCAATTCTATCTATCCATTGTATAAATGGTCCATAAACTTGACAAAAGTTGTTACCAATTATGATATCAATTCCTGAATTTTGTTGGTAAATAGTGGGAACGTTGAAATGTTCTCCTGAAAGTTCGAGATTAATATTTCTACAAACTTTATTTATCTTTATGGTTTCACCATTTGCAATAGTGGCACAAATTTCTTTGGGAGCATTTTCCCAGAGCTCATCCGGAATGATGAATTTGCTTGCAAGACATAAAGATGCACCTGTGTCTACAAAACAATGTACTCTAAATTTCTTATATCCTTTAAAGTTAAGGAAGGCAGAAACATAAATAGAGTTTGGATTAGTGAGATTCATGATAAGGGAATCATTAATCTTCTGGAGGTTTGCGCAAAAATGGTTAAACTCATCCTCCCTAAAAAGTGGAGCCTGTATGAGACTAGTCTGAGTCATCCGTGGTTGATTCGTTTTCATCAGAATTTGATGAAGAATCAGTTTCAACATGAAATGTAAAGACATGTTGTATACATTCATACTCCTCTTCAAGAGCTTCATAACCTCCATTATTAGCAGTTTGTAAAACCTTGACTTTGTCAGGATATTTTTTTCTATTTGGACATTCATTGGCATAGTGTCCTTCTTCATTGCAGATCCAACATCTACATTTTTTCTTTCCTTGTGGACAGGAAGTAGTCTTCTTAGGTGATTCTTTTGAAGGTTTTTTGAAGTATTTTCCTGGTGAAAATTTTATTCTTTTCTTTTTCCAGAAAGATTTGTATTTCTTTTTGTTTTTATATTTTTTCTTAGTATAAGTTTTCCTTCCAATATCAAAGTTTTTGAAATCAGAGAGAATGCTACAACAATCTTTACTTATTGTTTTGAGTTTTTGTTGTTTATATCTGTCTTGACAGATTCTATCAATTTCTTCCTTTGCAATTTTTGTTGCATAAGAAAGACTGGTTTGCTGGATTTCTCCAGTAGCTTCTTTTTTCCATCTTTCAGTACAGATTTCTCCAATCATTGGAATTTTCATTAGATAAGCAGATATCCATTGTGCATATTCACTTCTCTGGGGAATATCATATAGATATGATTCATACATACATGTGTATTTGTCGAGAAGACTAATATCATGTAACTGGAGTTTTGTCATTGAAACTCTTGCTACGTCAACTTTCTTATTAATGGTAAAGTCTTTATTAGAAATATAATCAAGACCTAAGAAAGTAGTGTATATGACATTTATAAGATTATCAAAAAGATCTGAACCATGCAAATCTTCATTCCAATTATTGTTTCTTAGGAACTTTTGCACAATTCCATCAGTTTTGTGTTCTAAAAGTATAAGAACATTTTTTGCTTTTTCAAATTCATCTGGGTTTGTCTGTAAGATTAGTGAAATCTCAGTAACCCATTTTTCAAATTCATCTGGGTTTGCTCTCATGGGTTGGAAGCAACATGGGAAGTCGAGTCAGAAATTCGCAATAAATACCCACACCTTTTCGAATAAAATTTCGAGGGCGAAATTCTAATAAGGGTGAGAAGGTGTAACAGCCCTGTTTTCAGAGATAGAAAATTTTACAACAAAGGTATATTTTTATTGTTTATATAGATACATATAATTAAGTATATGACTCACTTGTATAAAGGAAAGCCATAAACAACTAATGATTGCTATAGAAAAAGTGTAATATTTCATTAGCAAGAAAAGTTAAACCTAAGTAAACAAGCACACAAGTAGCTTACAAATGCTTATATCATGCTTTCTAAGGTGCTTACAAGTTCTACAACATAGGAACAAGTCATATTAACCATATTACCATTTTTCTTCATTCCAAAACAAAATCATTTACAAATAATCAGTAGAAGGAAGGCTTTAAAAGCATAAAGGTTCAATCTAAAGCAAAGTGAGTACTTATGTAATTTAATGGGATACATACATGCTATAATATGTTGTAAATTACTTTGCCATGATTAATTGCTTAATGTTTTAAAAACATGTTTTATAGTACATTAGTTATACTACTTTATTATTGTTTAATGTTTTAAAGAGCATGTTTATGGTATATTATCAAGATAGCATGAAAGTTTTATACATGTTAAGTTTGGCCATTTAAATACCCATCGTACGGGGGTATGGTATGAAGGACCGACTTGCAACCGGACCTTATGGGACAGCCTTTTATGGATCCCGAGGTTAGCTAACCTCTTAACAGTTTTGGCCTACTTACATGTAACCATGAGATCTCAAAGAAATGTTTTAAAGCATGCATAAATTATTACTCTTAAATGATCAAAACCATAATTACTCACTGAGCTTAAAAGCTTATGTATTCTTGTATGTATCTCAGGACAACATGAGTAAGGGACCACATGAAGTAGTTGAAGGGTCCAGTAAATGGTTTGGTCTAGGCTTTCATTGTAATAGTTTATTTTGAGTCTTTAGTGCATTTAGTGGGTTGTTAGTGAGTTTACGGCCATATGGTGAGTTTACGGTCGTAAGCCTGTTTACGGCCGTAAACCCTGTTTGCGGCCCAAGTCTAGTATAAATAGAGGAGTTGTAGGTCATTGTCAGGTTGTTGATGCTCTAGAGATTACGGCCAAGTGTATCGAGTTGTACCAGACGTTTTCAGCAATAAACGTGTGCAAGCTTGATTTCTTTTCTACTTCTACTCTCATTCTGATTTCTTTTGATTGTTTGTTGCTTGATCATTGGTAAAGATCCGTTTTTAGGACCTTACAGTAGTTTTCTATAAATAAGTTGAAGTGATATAAGTTAATACGATAGTATTTTATATTCCATGTTTACCAGTTTATATGTAATAAATTTCTCTTTATGTAATAAAGATGTTTTTACTAAATGACATAGTTAAATTAAATATTAGTACCAGAAGGGACGGGGCATGACAAGTTGGTATCAGAGCATTAGTCCAAATGATCTAGGTTAAACCAAGACTAACTTAGACTTAGACTTAAATTAAAAATAAAGATTTAATAGCTTTGATTTTCTTTATATAATTATATATATAGATATACTCTGTCACGAATACATGTTTCAGATGTTTAAAAAGCTCGGTGAAGGCCCTTCTGGAGTTAGGCGCAAGGAACCAAACCCAATAAATCACCCTCTGGAATGTCCGGTGCCGATTAACCAAGTTGGTCCATACCAAAACTTTGCACCAATTATTTTCATCTCTGATGATGAACTCTCAGAAGCCAATAACAACTTCATAAGCAAGCTTCCATGGGAAGAGATGATTTGGCCAGAAGAAGAGGTTATACCTCCACCTCGTGTGGCGCATCCTCCACCACCAGATGCTGCATCTTATGTTGGAGAAAATCACTATGATTTTGCAAACCAGAAATCGGCTTATATAAACGAGCTGCTAAACATGATAACTGAGGTCAATCAACAATGTTATCTCGCTCAGCAAGAAGCATACGAGTAGAGAACTTATATCATGGCTTTGGAAGAAGAGCTTAAAGAAACAAGAGCAAAACTGGAACTAAAAACCCAACTTTTAGATGAAAACCAAGTCCAAATACTCCAGATGCAAGACGAGCTCGGTTATTACCACTACCTGCTTGATTAAACCTCCACCCTCTAAAGAAGCAGCATAAGGATAATATATATATATATATATATATATATATATATATATATATACATATTCGGAACATATAGAATCAACAGATACGGAAAATTTTCTTATTTCCCTAAATTTTGACATCCTAAGTTATTCGGAATGTATAGAATCAACAGATAGGGAAAATTTTCTTATTTCCCTAAATTTTGACATCCTGAGTTATTTCTTTAATATTAATATTTTATCTAAAAAATAAATAAATAAATATCTTATTTTGTCATTATTATTAATAAATTTAATCTTTTAGTAGAAGGCAGAATCAGACGAGGATCAAATCCAAGAAGATCAAATTGAATATTCGTATATTCAAGAAAATATCGAAATCATCGAACAAGTCAGTATAGGAGAAATCGACAACTATAAATACATAAATTTTTGAATGGTAGACCAAGAAGAGTATGAAAGAGTTTTAGAGCAAGTTGAAGATCTAGATGCTCGAAATTGGGAACTCGAGTATAGATGTCACTTTGCCATTAAACTATTGTCAATATTTATTAGGGAATTTTATGTCATAATAGGTATAGACTGGATGTCTAAAAATTGAGCCTATATAATATGTCACAAGAAGATGGTAAAGGTTGAAGATAAGAATGGCAAGGAGATAATTATTTATAGTAGTCATAGGAAAAATCATGTCAATCTTATCTTAATTTTAAAGGCAAGAAAGTCAATATGCAAAGGATGTGAAACCTACTTGGCATATGTGATAGATACTAAAAAGGAAAAGAAATCAACAGAAGGGGTACCAGTAGTGGGTGAATATCCAGAAGTATTTCCTGATGAGCTACTTGGATTACCACCTGATACACAAGTTGAATTCTGTATTGATTTGGTACCTGGAGCAGTACCCATAACACGTGCACCATACAGGCTAGCACCCTCTAAAATGCAAGAGCTTATGACCCAGTTGCAAGAACTACTTGACAAAGGGTTTATTCGCCCAAACTCGTCACCTTGGAGAGCACCAATATTGTTTGTTAAAAAGAAGGATGGGACCATGCGAATGTGTATCGACTATCGAGAATTAAATAAAGTCACGATAAAAAATCGATATCATTTACCCCGGATAGATGATTTATTCGATCAATTGCAAGGAGCAAGTTATTTCTCGAAAATCGATTTACGATCAGGATACCATCAATTAAAGATACGAAAGGGACTTGAAAGTTGCAAAGCGATCTATTCCAATGAAGACCAGAGATCGGCTATGCTTCTGGAAAAGTAAAATCATCAACATAGCAAGGAAGGCTACATTCTGGATTAAACGAATACAAATATGTCAACTTAGTACCAAAGATATTCTGGTTCCCCCAATATATATATATATATATATATATATATATATATATTGTAGTGGGACAGGAAAAAGGAAACCTTAATATTTCCTTAAGTTTTGATGTTATATGTCCCAAATTTTGTATTGACGCATATGTAATATAAATGTTATTCATATTATTAGTGATATTTTGTAGAATGAATAGTCGAGAAAGGAATAGAAACAACCCAAGAAATACAAGACCATCGGGACAAGGAAGCGGACCTACATCAATTCCAGACAACTCTGCTAGAGGAGTTGATATAGCCGCAGAACTCTCTCGAAGCCTCTAAGAAAGTCTCCCGACTATAATAGCTCAAATTCAATTGGCTACGAATCAAAGCTCGGTGCATGGAACGCCCGAAGAAAATCATACAAGGCACGGACGTGATAATGGTCGTACTCACGGATGCGACTACAAAGCATTTACTACTGCAGGTCCTTCTGAGTTCAACGAAAAAGGAGGACCCATAGCAGTGATGAATTGGCTTGATGACATGGAGAGCTGTTTCCAGACATGTCAGTGCGCCATCGATCAACGAGTAAGGTATGCTTCAACTAAACTGAAGTTGAACGCTCTCCATTGGTGGAAAACCATTCAAACTAGTCGTGGCATCACAGAAGCATCATCAATGCCATGGGAGGAATTCAAGAATCTAGTCAATAGCAGATTTTGCCAAGACGCTCGACTGAATATGATGGAAGAGGAATTCATTAAACTAGAACAAGGAATCAAGTGAGTAGAAGAATATGCAGATACATTTCTGGAAAAGTCTTGATTTGCAACTGACATGATAACAACAGAAACTAGCAAGGTAAAACGTTTCCTAACTGGTTTAAGAAAAGATTTACGAAGGTTTATCAATATGTCTCAACCAAAGGCCTTTCAAGAAGGCCTGAAACTAGCAATCCTAGTTGAGAAAGATGGGTATGAGCCAAACAACTACCGGTTAAGTGAGAAAAGGAAGTTTGAAGGGAAGAATTTTGGTCGAGCATTCAAGAAGACAAGAAAAGAAGGTGCAATAACAGTTGACAAACCAACTTGTCCCAAATGCAATAAGAAGCATACAGGGGAATGTATGATGGGCATAAATGTATGTTATAAGTGTGGTCAACCTGGCCATATGATGAATAACTGTCCTAGGAACAAGACATGCTACAGTTGCGGTTCAGCTGAGCATCTCGCGAACAATTGCCCAAAGCCTAAGAATGTTCAGCCAATAAAAGCAATAGCAGGCACTAAAAGAAATGGACCAGAAGCTGGGAAAGCCAAAGGAAGGTTATATCAACTTACTACTGAAGAGACAAACGAAATGCCAGATGTGGTGACAAGTATCTTCATAAGGTGGGTTGCACCTGATCCTACATCGGCTTGGAAGGAGAACGAAACATTTCCTTATAAGGGGTGTGGATACCTTCCTTTTCACAACGCGTTTTAAATTCGTGAGGGCAGCAGATCCCATAAGAACTCTGCAGTTAAGC